TCATTAATATATTAAATTCCCAACCAATTGAAAATATAGTCCATTTTTTCAACCATGAACAATTTCATCAAGAACAAAGGAAAACCTAGTAGAGGCACCACCACCACCACCACCGCCGCCGCCGTGGAAGAGGATGAATTGGCTTTAGTAAAATCGGCTGCATGGGCATGGTACGAACACGGATCTGGATCCGGATCCGAGGGTCGACCCATCCGCGAGTTCGACGCTTCGAGGACTAAAACGGATCCCAAACCGTCAAGGTACAAGCTCGAAGCCTTGAGAAATAATAATAATAACGTACGACAAGTCCCGAAACTACGGTCGTCGTCTAGTGGCAATAATTCACTTCTTGATCACTACGAGGTAGAGAGGATTTCGAAGCAGCTCGATTATTACATCGAGTCTAGTCGTGCTAAGTACCGCCGCTCCTTTTCCGCCGCCGGCAACGGCGGACTTGCGGTGGAGCCGGTGGCGGCAGCGGCGGAGATGAAGAGTATTAATAAGGTTGTTGGAAGGAAGAAAGCGGGAAAAGAGTCTCGGTTAAAACATATTCCGGTGGCGTGTCGATCTTCGAGAGGCGATGTTGTGGAAAGTCATCGAAAGTTCGTGTACTCACGGCCGGAGAGAGGCGGCGTGGTGGCGGTGGTGGAAGTTGGTAGCTGCCGGCCGCGCGCGTGGAGCGCACGTGCCTAATTTGTTTTTGTTTATAAGAGTGGTAAAGGTGGGGGGTTTTTATTGGTGATGTTTATTTGTTCCCACCTTTATTGGCCTTGTTTATGTATCATTTACTATCTGGATAAACAGAATTTATTTAGAAAAGAAAGAAAAAAGCAAAAAAAAAAAATAAAAAAAGGAAACAATCTGGAATTGTAATTACCACATAGTATAAGTGTTTAATGGTAATATTTGTCATAGCTATTTAACTATTACTGCATTTTTTCTAATGAATATTTTAGGGAGAAAAAAAATACTCGGGTTATATTTAGGGATGACAACGTGTTGGTTATGGAGTAGGTTTGCATACATTCGAGAATCGATCCGCAAAAAATATATAAAATCTAGACCAACCCCGATCTATATTCGATTTAAACGATCCTGACCCGCCAGACGCGCCAGACTCGTTAACATCAAATAAAAAGGTTAATATTTTTTTAACTTTCATAGTATTTTGTTTGTATATCTTAACAAAAGAATCTCAAAATTAAAATGTAACATTTTACAAGTGATATAAAGTGAATAATAAACTTATCTAATTTAATTTATTGTATTTTTAACTTTTATGTACTAGATACGACTTGCGAGAAATTAAATACAAAAACTTGACCGATGAAAAAAGGGATGAATGAGAATAAACAATATGGAAATTGAAATTTTGATAAATGAAATTGAAAATTAATATATATGTTAAATATAATATATTTATACAGATCGGTTTTGGATCGGTTTCAATAAGAACCGTAATCCGACCCAGAACCATCCGGTTCTAGAAACTAAAACCTATTATTCGATCCAGAGCTGTTTAACTTACCCAAACTCGTCCAAAACAGGTCGGTTTCGAGCTTGAGACCCGATATTCCCGTACCCATTGCCGTCCCTAGTTATATTGTCATTAAGGTCTCGACTTGTATATAAAAATAAAAATAATTACTTATATATTAATGCGCCAATTCAATTTTTTAATCATAAGGCCAGTAAAAGATAATTTATTAAACAACCAAAAGAGTAATACAGACACTCATAAAATATAAAAAAATCGAGACAACTGCATTTGATGTATATATGAATTAAATGAATGTAATTAATGAAAGTATTCAGTCCTCTTTGGCGTCTTTAAGTAAAATATTCCTGGTTTGTCTTCTTGAGTTCTTGCCTTCTTGCTACACATTTATTGTAAATTTGAATGCTCTCTCCCTCTCTCTCTCTCTCTCTCTCTCTCTCTCTCTCTCTCTCTCTCTCTCTCTCTCTCTCTCTCTCCCTTTTTTTCTTATATATATATATATATATATATATATATATATATATATATTAAACTATACTGTTGTGGGATAACCTATGAATCACATGAGGCATTTAGTTCATAAAAAATAGGGTTAACTACAAATTGCACCCCTGTACTATCACCAGTGTCGCATATATCCCTCTATAATATGAAATGCGACAAAGTGTCCCCTGTCGTTAAACTATGATAGATAATGTGTCGATTCACAAAACAGACACAGATATAGATGTATAGACACACACACAAAAACACCTATATATGGTGTGGATAGAGGGATATATACACCCCCCCTAGCGGTATATCGTATCACTGGGAGAAACTACAAGGGGGCGATTTGTAGATCACGCGTGAA